AAGTTAGTTAACTTAATTATATAATAAAGTAAAGTAAATAAATAAATTAATTAATTTTAGTTTTACGTTTATTATTATAACTAATATAACTAACTACTATATATATATATATATATATATATATATATATATACATATCTTTAAATAATTACTTGTACACACTTCATAAACTATGAAACACTTTTATATATATACATATCTTTAAATAATTACTTGTACATACTTCATAAACTATGAAACACTTCTACATATATATACATATCTTTAAATAATTACTTGTACATACTTCACAGATCAGCATGGATTACAATAATTGAAAGAATAAATGACAGTGTCTCATATATGTGGATGAAAACTTACAAAAATGTAATAACATACAATTGTTTGCTTATGGCATCTTGTATATTTACCATGTTGTAATTCCCAAGGTAACCACTAATATGTATGTAGCTATGTATTAATCAGAGTATATTTTCTGTATTAATTAATTCTTAAACAGAGAAAAAAGTGACAATTTATTAACAAGTCAGATAATATATATCAACTCACATGGTAGTAAAAGGAGGAATTTACATCACTATGCTTCATTATGAAGTTTATGTGACAGAATGAGCAGGCAAAATAGCAGTGTACGTTAAACATGCATGATATGAGTTTTTCAAATGTAAACAGTCCGCAACTTCATGTAATCTGCCCATTATTCAAATAAATCTTCAGTACTAACATTTAGGTATCTGTATCACCTTCACCAGCATAATCAAGCGCATTTTGCTCGTATGTTGTTGAAAGAATAGGGAAGTATCTTGGTCATGAGGAAAGTCTAGGTGCCCTAAAACATTATAATTGGAACATGACATCCTACCATCCTTGTCCCTTAACAACTCTGGTACTACCAACCACATGAGTGATTAACAGATGTAGTGTCACAGAATATCTGTAAGGAGTCGACCTTTAGTGCCACATGCAGTGACTGGAGTTTGGTTCTTTATTACTCTTCTGACTGCCTGTAACAGACAAGTGTTACTGAGTGTAAGACTTGTTTAAACTGACGGATGCTAACTGCTGAATTATGAGAAAATATTTGAAAAGTATGAGGCAATTAGTTAATGCAGAATAAATCATATGTAATTACACAGCATTCTGTGAGCCTATCTTTTTTTTTCTCCAGTAACTCATTTGATTGATATGAAACTGACAGCATTTTTCTGTGCAAACTATTCCTTTTCCTCCATGTTGGTTGGAATGCAGACAATCCTTACCAGTGGCATTCTGGTGAAGAACTACTCCAATTGACCATTTGTTAAAATTTGAGCACCAAAAAGTCATTCAATAGAATTTGGGCAAAAAAAAAATATATATATATATATACACACACACACAGTGAAAAGTGCAGCATGTGGTTTACTGAATGCAAACCTATCCCTTGGTAACAAGAAACTTCATATTGCATTGCTATCTACCATACTTTAAACTTTTCCCAAATGTTGCAGCACTTGTTTTACTGAATGCAAACTCCCTCAATAACAAGACATTTTGCATTGGATTGCTATTTATCATTGCAGTGTTTTTCATTACATTATTTGCAGTTGAGAATTTTGAAAATCAAACTGTAATCACAAATGAATTTTAACTTTTACCAAATAGTAAGGAGGTCATTTACACCAAATTCAAAATCATTTGCTAAAACTAACTTTATACTCCCTTGTGATCAATCATTTTCAGTTTTAGGTTATATAGCCCTTGGCATTGATTATACTAAGTTACTTTTCAGCACTGATTCTGGTTTTTGAAATACAACAATACTAAAGAAACAAACTTTTACCCAATCATATTGAGTTTGGTTTACGAAATCAAATACAAAACCACTTGGAAAAAAAAAACACTTTGTACTTATTTATTATGTTACATTCTATGTTGCATAATCATTCTTGACTTATTGTTAAATCTTATAAAGTTCCCAGTTAATTCCTCTGAAGGTGAAAAAGCCTTCAGTAAGATGACTGTGACAGACAACAGACTGGACTGCTTGTTAATTGTGATGTGTAAACAGAACGTAACTGCCAGTGTATTGACCCAAGTCATATATAAATAGATTGGTGCAAGCTAAGAAGAGATTTTTTTATTTTAAAGTTTACTATAGCAGATGTGATGGCCTAGATGGGCCATTTTTGTTCTAATATGTATATATGCATGTACAGGTGAGTACCGTATGTTTACTATTATCTTAGTAAATTTTTTTTTTTCAAAATCTCTTTTTGTTTTCTCTCATTTCTGTTTTCAATGCAGAGAATCACTCAAGTAAGCAGCATAATGTCTCCTTTCTTCAACTGCACATGGAACCAGATTCACTAATTTGTCATTAAGCATGTTTTCATACAGGAAAGATAGCAGTGACTTCATTTGTGATGTTCCAGAATAGACTGCTGTCTTTTATGTTAACAATTATGATCAAACATGAGTGTATTAATGCCACATGAGTGATGTGCATGTTGTGAGTAGCCTTGCTTTGTTTATATTTGTTAGTTTTATGGGGGCCAAATTTTTATAGTAAGTGTCTGTGACTTGTTGGCAATAAATGTCAGCAATAAATGGACAGCAAACAATCCACTTGTTTTAAAATAATATATTCAAAACAAGTCAAACATATGTAAAAAATTTGTTTCACTATTTGTTATCAAAGTTGTATATAAAACTTTAAATAATGCTCTTTTCATGTCAAAAGTCCACATAGGCTGGTTCAATTACTTTAGAATCCAATTGACAAGAATTATTTTTCTGTATTCTGTTTCTTACTGCACAATCTGCAATAGATTCACTTACGTTACCTTGTGAGTTACAACAGTTGTATCTAGAACTTTAAATAATTGTCTCCTTTCTGTGAAAGTCCACACAGGCAGGTTCAATTACTTTAGAACAACCTTTGACAAGACAAATTATTTTCCTTATCACTGTCAAACTATACACCTGGAAAAAAAGTTAAGCACCCCCCGTGTTTTTTTCAAGTGATTCAGATTCGACGTTCTTGTGACTG